CCCCCCAGGCCTCGTTCCCCCCCGCCCGGTCCCGCTGACCCCGATGAGGTGCACGCGGTCCATGCTGAAGCTGGGCACGATGGTCACCAGCTCCTTCTCGGCCAGGAACTCCGCCTCGGCCGGTTCCATGCGTACAGACCCGGACCGGCGCCGCGCGCACAACTGGGACGGGAACGGGGACCGGAACCGGCACGGGGCCCGCCAAGCGCCCGCGCTCCCTATTGGCTGCTCGACGGCGAAGCCCCGCCCACAGCACCCCTCTTTCCGCCGTCGGGCCCGTTTTCGCGCTCTCCGTGTGAGGGCGGGACACGGCGCAGCTTGGAGAGAGATGATTGGTTGTTTCATTCGGCCGTGGACCTCTATTGGTTACCTCTATCGGTTCTATGTCGCTCGCCGCGGGACCAATCCTGATGCCTCCTGGGGCACCGACCAATCAGAGTTCAGCACTTGTTGCCGGGGCGCCTCGGGGCCCGATGTGCCCAACTACTACTGGTGTGCGCGGCGCTCGGAGCTGCTGCCCCCTGGCGGTCAGGAGGAGCAGCGCCCCGTGCCCCGGCCTTTCCGTGGGCCGCGGGGCCGGAGGTCTGTCCGTGCGTCCGCCTGGGTGTCCCTGGGCAGCCAGTTGTGCTCATGTGCCAGGCATGGTCTGGCTGCCTGTTCCCTCTATTCATCAGCCAGCACAGGCTCACACCCATCTGCCCATCCATCCAACCAACCAACCAACCAACCAACCATCAATCCATCCATCCATCCATCCATCCATCCATCCATCCATCCATCCACCCGCCCACCCACTTGTCCGCGCATTTCTCCATCCACTCTTCCATCCGTCCACCCATTCGTCTACCCATGTGTCTGTCCATTCATCCATCCATTCATTTATACATCCCATTCGTACATCCATGCCTCCATCTGTCCATCCATGCATCCACTCTTCCGTTTGTCCAGCCACCCACCCACCCATCCATCCACCTCGCCTCCTATCCACCCATCCAATCACCCATACTCATCCATCCACCCCTCCATGCCTCCATCTTGAGCCCAAAGGACCAGTGCTCCCCACCACTCCACAGGTCCCATCAGCCCACACTGGGTAGGTCTGCGGGCTGCAGGAGAGGATCCCCCATCCATTGCTATACCCGTGGTGCCACCAGCACGCGCTGCAGCTCCGCCAGGCACTTTATAAATGGCTCTGACATGGTGTGAATACACTTTCGTGTCTTTTGCCATCTGCTGCTGTCATTAAAAAATTAAATTTCCATCTGCTTTTGCACGCCGTCTTCTCCTGGGGCTCTCCAGCGAAGCAGCACACCAGGAAGCATCACCCCCAGCAGGGCAGGATTCAGCCCTGGAGCAGTACTGAAGCTGTCGGTGTCCCCTCTGGGTGCTCAGCACTGGCTGCAGGGTGGTGACGTCCCCCCCGTCGCCCTCCGTGTGTCCCTGCACAACATGGTCCCTGTGGGTGTGGGTGGTGTGACGATGATGGAGGGCACGTGGAGGTGCTTCCCATCCGGCTCTGGGGTCCCGGTGCTGCCATTCCCGCTGCTCACACACATCTTCAAACCTATAGAAAGAAAGAAAGAAAGGCCAGGGAATAGGGGGTGTATGTTGATGCGATGCTCTGCTCAACCCTATATGAGCCACTGGAGAATCCCCAGAGCCCCGTGATGGCACGGCACAACCTTCTTCATCCCCGGTGTTCTCACTGGGGTGCCACAGCCCCCAGCTGCCCACCTGCCTGCTGGGCCATGGAGAGCTCTAATCTGCTGTTTTAATCAAGAGGAAAGCCCAGCTCCACACACAGCGAGCGGCCAGGGAGGTTTAATTCTTCTGCAGGAGGAAAATGCCCGAAGGGGACAGACACTGATATTTTTAATCTCTTTTTAATTAAGGATTAAACCCTGCCTTATGTAAGAGAGCCGCAGGGGGGTGTTTTATTTTACTGCTGTCTCTGAGCCCATCGCAGGAGGAGAGCAGGGGCTGGGGGGGACGTCTGGGGGCTGCACTCCCTTGGCTCTGACCTCACTTTGGGGATGCTTCAGCGCGGGTGATGCATAGCAGCTCCCCTGCGGTGCCAAGGGCTCAGCTCTGGGTGAAGCATCCCTTGTGACAAAGGTCTCCACAGGACAGCGGGTGCAGCATTTGTGCTTGGGTTGACCACGAAAGAGGACAGAGCATCCCAAATCGTCCTTGGGCACATCCGAAAAATGGATGCGCTCCCACGTGTACAAAATCCATCGCATCCCATTGGGATTGGGGGAGACCCCATCCCTCCAGCCTCCCCCCACCCCCAGTGCCACGCCACGGCCCCACCCCCAATATCACATCCCAACCCTTTGCCAAGCAGCATTAAGAGCTAATGGGAGATGTGCTGCTCAGCGTCACGGCGCGTTAAAAGCTCCCACTTCCTTTCTCTCTATGCCACGGCAGACGTCGCGGTTGCTCGACTCCATTAAGAAAATTGAAGTTTGGGGATGGCGATGCTATTAAAGACGCTCGGGGTGAACTTGGGGGCTGGGGTACCCACCTTTCCCCCTGAGCATCCCAGATGCGAGCATCCCAGGGTGCTCCAAAGCCTTGAGCAACCTCAGGACCTTACCCCACGTTTTATAAGGCTGGAAAAAATACCCACATCCCCTTCCTTTAACCCGCAGCATCATCCCTCCAGAGGCCAAACCCCTCCTGCAAGCAGCAGCAATACCTTTAGGAGTCAGTAAAGCACCACGTCCCCAGCGCATCCCTTTGCCCAAAACCACCCTGGCACCCACCCAGACCCACCTTTCAGACAGGATAACTTGAGCCCCATGTTCTCATCCTCTTCTCGGGGCCTCGCCGCTGCTCCTGGCTCTCCAGCACTGCTCACTGCATAAAGAGAGAGATGAGGGCTGTGGGGAGCGCAGCGACGGGAAGCGACGCCGGTAATGCTTCGAGCAGGAGGAACGGGAGAGGACTTGATGGCTGGCTAAAAGCATGCACCTATGAGTTTATATATAAATACATAGACATACACACATATATATATATATATATATATGCACCCGAGCGAGCTGCCTGGGCACAACAGGAAGCAATGCAGAAAAACCACGGGCTGATGTCACGGCGTTTCGGTGACTCAATCCCAGCCGCTGAGTTTGGGGAGGAACTTTTTGGGAGGGTGGAGAAAGAGTTCAGCACCCCAGCATTGCAGCCTGTGCTGGGAACCTGCATCCCTGCTGCTGTGGCTGTGCTGCAAATGAGTTTGGGTGAGGAGGATGCAAGCAGGGCAGGATGGGGGTTGGTGCAAGCAGCTGATGCTTGCAAAGAGGAGCCCAAGCCCGTGGGCAGGAAATATAGGAGGCACCTGTCTGACCTCGCAGCATCTCCCATCCTGGGGTGCCACCTGGGAGCAGAAATAGCCAAACCTGCAGGAGGATGGGGATGTCTGGGACTGGGAGCATCCCTCTGGGCTCCTGTGGTGTGCCAAGAGCTTTTGGAGAAATGCAGGTGGAGAATTCCTAGAGGCAGCTGGTACGAGAGGGGCATTTTCCAAACGGGATATGAAAGGGATCAGGGTGGGTAGAACCTCAGGGACAGAGGTTGACATTTCAGAGCTGCAGGACACACTGCAGCGTTTCACACTTCTTTTGAGTTACCCTGGGTGACATCCCTTCACTGAGGAATTTGTATCCCTCCTGCCCACAGCTGATGGAGGGAAAAGCTGATGGGAAGAGGGCTGGTGCCTCATTCCTGCTCTCACCTCACAGGGCCTGCAGGGAGCTGAGCAGCACCTCCCTCCCTGAGCCCCTTCCCCAGGGTTGAACGCGCTCACACAGCCGGGAGATGCTCAGGCAGAGCGATTCCCCCACCACCATTTTGCTGGCTGGTGCTGGAGCTTCAACTTCGTTTCCGTGTCAGAGAGATGTTTGCATCGCCGATGAGTTCACGCTCCAGAAACCCACAGACACTCATTGCAGGAGTCACCAACGCAGCATCAGCGCTGCACGCGCGGAAAAAGCTCCGTGATGTGCCCGGAGGGGATACACAGAACACGGCCAGGTCCCAGCAGGTGGGTTGGAAAGGGGGAATGGGACAAAAAAAACTCAGCCCTGGCCACGTAGAAGGGGATGCCACTTACCCGTCGCCGTGCCCGCCAAACGTGCCTTGCATCCCAGCTCCCACTGTGAGCTGAGAGGGGGATTTCCAGCCCTGCTCCCATCCGTGTTGTGGGTTTTGCAAGGTTGGTTTCTAACCTGGTTAATCGGGTTGGTGAAGTCCCGGCTCCTCCCATCCTTCCCTCCCTGCTCTCCCCCCCCCCTCCGGTCCCATCTGAGCCCTGCCAAGGCTGTGGGTGGGTGATGAGAAGCGGTGCTTTTCTCTCACCTCGCTGCACAGCCCAGCCTGCTGCTGATAGAGAGCTGGAGCCCCTGGAACCTGAGCATCCCCTATGGCAGGAAGGGCACCTAAACATCCCAAAAGCACGGGGTTGGTGTGTGGGTGCTGATGCTGAGGTCCATACCCAGAAAGTGGTGATGCTCCTGCTCCAGTTTTTGGGGCCAGAAAGGGTCTGCGTTTCCCACAGGGTCTCATCTGCCCACCCAAAAAAGCAGCCTAGGGGCAGGACCACGCAGGGGGGCTCTTGCTGCTCTGAGGATGGCAGCTCCAGCTTTCACCCTGAGGTGAACAGTCTCTGCCTTCGCCTGCATTAAAAGCAGCCGGAGGAGGTTTTTGCATATCCGACTCCTTTGCAGTGATGAGAGGAGATGCTCCCTTCAGAGAGCTGAAAAGCAGAGATTCACATCCAGGGCAGCGTCACATCCAGGGAATCCCTCCTCACAGCCTTCCTGGCTGCAGGCAGGAGCCAAGGGAAAGCCTCGAACTGAGCAGAAGACAGAGCTCAGGAAGCACCTGGAGGCCAAGGCCCAAAAAACAGACAGATGAATGGGTCATGCACTTTTCTGCCTGGCCAGCAGCAGAGTCCAAGATGCAGAGGGCACTCAATGCACACAGCATCCCTGGGGGTCCCCTGCCCTCACCAGACTCAGCAGCACCAATCCGGTCTGAACAGCAAAATCCCCTCCGTTTGCTATTTAATGCCTCTTGAAGTCCTTCTTGCTGCTGTTTGGAGGGGACAAAAAGCCCCAAACTCCAGAGCCCTGGATTGAACCGGGGCAGGAGCAGCAGTTGTGTTTGTTGCTGAAACAAGGACCTTGCGAGCAGCTGACAGAGCTGCCTTGCTGCAGCTGGGAGGTGAACAGCAACAGCAGCGAGCTAAAATAACTGTGGTTAGCTCTGCGGGCTGAGCACTTCTCCAGCTGGGCCGGTGATACCTGAAAGGCACAGAGACACCTTTCTGCAGCCTTCCCCACGGGCTGGTGGGGGCAAACAGACCTGGGCACGTTTACAGTGTTCCCTTTGGTTCAGCCACCAGCCGGGCTCATTTTGGAAAAGGAGAAAGCATCCCAAAGAAAATCCCCTGGGGTAACAGCAGCAGGCCTGGGCAGAGGCAGGAAGCAGCACGGCTGCTGTTGCAGAGAGCAGAAAGGGAAGCAGAAAGCGAGCACGTACCTTAAGCACAGGGCTGGGCTCTGCTGCCAGAACCACATCCAGAGCAATCTGCTGCCCTGCTGGGCATGGCTTCAGCAGGTAGCACAGGGCCTGGGCTGGGAATTGGCTTTGAGACCTGGCCACCGCTTCCCAGCTCGCTGAGCTCCAGGTTAATCTGAGCCCAGCTTGCCCTTTTATCCCCTCCGTACATTTTTTTTCTTTTCAATTAGGTCTGCTCTTAAGCTCTGGAGTGCGTTTCTAGGAAGGGCTGCATTATTTCTCCAGCCTTCCCGAGCTGCTGCTGTGCAGATCAGGGCATTCCTGGCACCGCTCCCTCCTGCACCCAGCTCCAGTGCTGCGTGCTGGGTTGCTCCCCTCTGCCCCTCTGCACTTGAAAGCAGCGAGCCCTGCTGAAAGGGGCTGAGTTGGGGCACTCTGCACAGCCACACAAACGTGGAAGGATTTCACCTCTTGCACAGTCCTGTTATTGGAAGCTCCATCCCACAGCCAGCAATCTGCCTCCATCCTCCCCGAGGACACGATGTGCCAGCCAAAACCAAGGCGAAACGCACAGGGAGGGTTTGCTTTGGGATGGGGATGGGAAGGTTGGGTGAAAACGTGGTCTAAAAGCCGTGGTAAAAAATTAAAATCAAAATCAATGGAGCTCTGAGCTGACGCTTAAGCGGAGTGAAATCACTGCCTGCCCCTGGAGGGCTGGCTGCAGGCAGTACAGCACGCAGCACGGGAGCACGAAGCATTAACAGAGAAGTCAAATTGAAGCCTGGAGGAAAAGAGCACTGGTAGAATGGGAAGGAAGCAACCTCACAGCATCGCCTACCCAACCCAGCCCAGCTCCCCGCAGCATGCAGGCAGCAGTGTGCAGCTCAAGCACTGCTCTTCCAGGGGCTGAATTACAGCACAAACCCCAGGTGCAGCTCAGAAGTGCAGGCTAAGCACGATTCCCCTGGAGGACGTTTCCCAAGCTGCAGCCCATGCTGCTAACAGCCTCTTCCATTAGCATTTGCCTGCTCTTCCCGTATCAGTAATGCCCTCCATCTGAGCATCTCAAGGCATTTCACAAAGGGCAGCAGCAGAGTGCAGGGATTAGGCTTCTAGCCAGGGAACAAAGAGACCCCAGTTGGCTTCCTGCATCTGCCACTGCCACCTCCCCTGGGTGTGCATCCCTGCCACACAGCTGAGGGGGCAGGGGGTGACCTCCCAGAGGTTCACCTCCTCTCCATCCCACCAGCTGAGATGCTCTCTGCTTCCACAGCCCCTTTGGCTCTCAGGAGTAAGGCTGTGCTTGTTATCACACTGCCAGAGATGAGGGAATCTCCCATGAGCAGCACAGCTGACAGATAGGAGGGGGAAAGGGAAACTTCAGCAGCAGGTCGTTTCACTGGCTGAATTAAAAAATACGTCCTAAGCACGCACACAGCAATGAGCTCACAGAGAACATGGATGCAGTGTGATCCCCAGCAGCAGAAATCACTCCCAGCACAGACTGAGCCCCAGCCAGCCACTGCTCTCCCTGTTCTGATGTGCTCAGATATCTCATTGAAAATAACACCCCAGGGCCCCCTCTGTTCACTTCTGGATGCCTCGAGCTGGGGCTGTGTGTGGAGGTTCTGACCTGCTGTCAGAAGGCTGGAAGTGCCCCGGGCCACACAGCAGCTCGTGTCCTGCCTCAGGGCACTCCTTGTGTTCCTGGGCCTCAGATCGATCCCATCTTTGATTTCAAACTGAATTGGCTTTACAAAAAGCGTGCTCAGGCCTTTTGCTTCTCCCCCTTGTGACTGAAGGATTCAAGGTTAGCGTTCCTGTGGATCCAGCAAAGAACAACATACATCCTCCCAGTCAGAAACCCAAGTGCTCGGTGCTGGCATTTTCATGCACTTGCAGAGTCTATTACTGCTCTGAAATACTGCATAGAAAGCAGTATTAAAAACCACAACTCTAACACACCTCAACAAACACACTGGAATCTATGTATTTCCAAGCGTCTTAGGTCTGAGGTGAAGAGCTGGGAGTTCAATGCCTGGACAAACACCATATCTGCAAATCACAGAATCACAGAACGGCCTGGGTTGCAAAGGAGCACAATGCTCATCCAGTTTCAACCCCCTACTATGTGCAGGTCACCAACCAGGTTGCCCAGAGCCACATCCAGCCTGGCCTTGAATGCCTGCAGGGATGGGGCATCCACAGCCTCCTTGGGCAACCTGTGCCAGTGCCTCACCCCTCTCTGTGTGAGGCTGAGATCTCTCAGGGAAGAAAAACTAATTAGACCTGCACGTCATTAACTGCTAACAAAACGTAAGAGTGGTTCCAAGGTGGAGATGCAGAATCCTTCCCCAGAAGTTTTAAAAGCAGTTACCTTGAGTTCCTCTGAAGAATCCTGTACATCTGCCAGCCAGGCGACCAGCATTTGTTCTGACAGGTGGGCTGGGGACATCAGCAGGGAAGGAGAACACAGCCTTCAGAAGCTGGCAGCTTCCTCATTCTTCCACAAAGAGCCACTGGGGCTCCAAGCCGCCTTGCCTTTATGAAATGGCTGCTTTTGGTCCAACCTTCAATGCAAACAGGACAGGCGTGATAAGATCTGAGCACTGCAGTGCTTGTTCCTTTTGCTTGAGGTCAGCCTGCGTCCTTACAGGTGGCAAAACACTCAAAGCATCTCGTATGAAAGCAAACTGAAGACAAAGCAGTGAAAGCTGCTCCCCTTCCAGCAATGAGTCTTGATGGTCACAGGCAGCATTCACCCTTTCCATCAGGTTGCAGCCTGATGATATACACACTTTGAGAGGGTGAAGGGGGGGAGATTAGCCCGTATTAGCATCTATACAATCAAAGCTTGATTATGACATCTAGCTACGGAGAATGAGAAATGGATTTCCTGTGGCTCAGCTTACACTGCAGCACTGGTTCACCATCTCACACAGCTAGGTGTCCTGATAAGGCAACACCTGCCACTGCAACAACGGGGCAGAACTTGAGGTGTTTGCAAAGGAAGACAACAGTCCTCCTCCTGCAGGGTGAGCTGCAGGGCTTACTTCAGCCCTACGCTGCTGGGTCATGGCTGCTTCCAGGATTTGTTGTTTCAGTGTGTGAAATAGAGTTGTGGCTGTGTAGCATAAGGCACCACAACGTGTTCATCTTGCTGCTTCTGAGCTAGATATGTATTCTCTTCCTTTCCTGCCAGCATATCAGACTCGTGATTTGGAAAGACTGCTGACTGTGCCCGTGCTTCTTGTGAAGCCCATCACAACTTACTGCTGCATAGCAGGCAGGCAAACAAAGCCACTGAGTTCAAATCTTCATCCTAAAATAGGAGGGAAACAGTGCTACAAAGCTTCCTCATTGCCCACTGAACTTACCCTTAGAAACAAGCAAGAATCAGAAAGACAGCTAAAAGCTGAACAAAATGTAATCTGGATTGCTTGATACAGACATTTCCCTTCAACTCAGAGGTGTGTTTCAGGCTTACTTAAATGAATACCAGCTGAAAATCAGAACTGCATAAAAGACAGACAGAAAAAAAAGCTGCATAGAAACAATACTGTATTTCACCCTCTCCTTTTGTAGTCTTAAAAGGGTTTTAGAGCTTTCATTCTATCTCGTCATTTCAGGCTTCAAATCAAACCAAACAGAAAAAATCACACGAGGTGAGCATCCGATTTTACTTTGTGTTTTAACTTTTCCAGGCAGTAACCATGGTTGTGTGTCCAGGGTCAGCAGAAATGACTGCAGCATTTGGGAATACAGCCCTAGTGCATTTTCTGTAGCTGTGTCATGCAAAACCACTGCAGATCAGGTGACACCTGAGCATGGCACATCATCCTCAGCAGTATGCATTATGCTGCAGTGAAAAAAGGCCATTTCCAGCCAGGCCAAAAAAAAAAACCAACCCTGAAACAGTTAACTTTTGATATTTGACCTCAAAATACCTCATCTGAGGACAAAACTGGTTTGTTTGCTGCTTGTTGGTTTTTTCTTTTCTTTTTTTTGAAACCTATCTTCATAAATCTTTAAAAATTATTCTCTCTCTCTCGAGTACAAAAGCTTAGTGAAAACTTGGTGATATGAACAAGGGGAAATAAGCAGGAGTCGTTCTGGTTTTGAAGGAATAGCAACATTCACTGCAACCAGGAAGGCATCCACGGGGACAGCTGGAACTGATGGTGTGCAGCTCTGCCAATGAACCTCACGACAAGGATTCAACAGCTTATAGGCACATCACCCTTGGCAATGTGATGTGTCACTCTTAATCCTCCAGCTTTCCACACCAGGTACTGAATATTATTCTATTTACATTCAAAAATATCATCTTTGTCTCTTCAGTACGTAGTGGGAACGTGAGTCAGTAGGAAGCCTTCTAACACAGGTGGAGGACAGCTTTGTTGATCTCTGGGTTTGTCCAGTCGTTCCGGATGTCATCCAGGTGGTTATCAAAATCCACGAGTGTTTCATAGGACTTGCTGTCCAAGAGAGATGCAGCAATTCTCTGAGCTTCACTCCAATCTTCACAAAAATCACTAGGAAGCCAGATAACCACTAATTAGCCACGATCACAAAGGAAACCTCCTTCACCTCCTCCACTAAGGGCCATTCCTCCCCACCCCTCAAAGGAACAAGCTCTGATGTTTACTCACACATGTGGGTCTTTGCACCTCCACTTGTTCTCGTGAAGCTCGTACACGTGAATGGCAGGTTCCAAGCACTCCATTGTGAACTTGGTATTATCAACCTGGTGTGCAATAGAAAAACACCACCTCAGCCTTCTCCAAATCCCACGTAAAGAGGTGAAATTGAAAAAGAAATTACTGACAGGACACCTGATACCAATTCATCCACCGATCTGCCTTCACACGAGACGACTTTTCCATGTTTAAGCCACCAGCACTCTTGGTGGCTCCATTTGTTTCATATATGATCTTAAAGGTCCCTTCCTACCCAAACCATTCTGTGATTCTACGTGAGACAAGAACTGAAGTCAGGAAAGGAGTCCATCGTGCTAAATGCACTGCCTTTGTTCAAACCTCCCACAGGGAAGGTCCCCACTTCCCCTGAGACAACAGAGAGCTAACCACAGGCAGCTCCTAGGAACCACACTGGCTACAAGTCACTGCATCTGGGGAAAGAGCAAATTGGTTGCCTCACTATTAAAGATCCAGAGAATGGCACGTAGCCTGGTGTCATGGCCATAGGATGAACGATGCAGAAAAAGATGAAGTATTTACCATGATGAGTGCTGTATCGTTAAAGCCCTCTGCAATTCGGGAAGCCACCTTCTCAGCAACCTGGGTTGGACTGCAGCAGAAGGTAAAAAGAATTGTGTTATTTGAGCTGTGACTCTTCGGCTTAAAACAACAGGAAATGTGCTTCAAGGGCTGTGAAAATTACAGAGCTTGCTTACAAACCAGGAGGAGGCACCACGTTGCTGTTACGCTTGATTGAAAACAGCAAGCCAGGAAAGCCCCACCTTCCCCCTTCAGCACACGGTCTGTGCCCAGGCAGTGCATTTCTGAGTAGCAGATTGCATGCACAGCCAAGGCCTTGGGGTCTTCTACCTCCTTCTGCCAGACCAAGAACCCAGACAGGCATTTTACAAAGAAACTCCACCTGAGTGCTCCCCATTCTGAGCTCACTCACTGCCCAGCTGCTCCACAGAACCAGATTTCTTCTAAAGGACAACCTTTACTCCCTTTCAAAGCTTGCAATCTCTACGCTGTGCCAGAGATGAAGTCTTGGGGTTGGAAGAAACAAACCTGTCAGTCTTTCAAACCACAATTGGAACAGACAAGCTGCATCTTCTTTAAAATACCTTCAGCAGAGCTGTTTCCCTCATAAGGAAAAGGCAACGCCTGCATCCCTGCTAGGGAGCCAAGCAATCACAAGTGCTACTCACAGATACACTTGAGACAGAAAGATAAACATAAGCAAGGTAACTGGAACACAGCATGATCCTTTAAACAAGCATGATATAACCTCAATAGGCTTGATACTGGATTTGCCTAATGTATGTAAGGAGAAATATGTGATATACGTACACATCAGTGGCCACTTGACTGCTAATTTCATAATTTTTAAGGGAGGGGGAGGGGAAAAGACCATTTCTGGGGAAAACAAAAAGAAAAAAGGATCTCTGCTTGACTGACATCATCCTACATTTCAAGAGGGAGCCTCTGCCATGTCAGAATTTCCTTCCATAGAACTCAGTGACAATTAAGCAGTTTTATTAGCAAGAGTTAGGGCACTTCTAAAAGACTTTCCAACAGCTATTTAGAGTCACTTGAGCTTGTAAGATATTTACAGCACAAGCAAACACGCCTGCAAATTTTGGCTATATCCCTGACAACTGTAATTAAACTGGCTGGCAGCCATTCAAATACTGGCCTTTTATAGCATCCACTACAGAAGAGTGATTCTGGAAAGCCTGAGGTTTCTGCACCTGAACAAAGGCCGCAGCCACCAGCAGCACGAAGACAATACGAAAGCAGATGAAAGTTGTCAAAGTTAATCAACGCGCACGGTTAACGAGGATGATTTCTGCTGGCAGAGTGCAAAGTACAAGAGAAAAGAGCAAACAGAAGGAGAAAACTGCACCAACACACCTGGCATCTTTCACGCGTTCATTCGCCTGGTAATATCCAGCTATCACGTAGCTGTTCTCTTTGCACCAAGAGTCAATCTGAAAAAGTAATTGGAACAATTAAGCTTAAGGGTGGAGGGGGAGGGGGGAAGATGAGAAGGAAATCCCGTGTCTGGCTGTGAATAAAAGAAGTGAAGCGTTGCAGTGCCTCTGCCATTGCTTCAGAACTCGTATCGGTGCGCACACACGCACAGGCACACCTGAAGTTCACCTACCAGGGCTTTTCCTTAGAACTGAGGATACTGAGGCAGGAGAACACAGAAACAGGGTAACATCTGAAACAGAGAAAGCAGCTGGGATTTTCCTTTGCTGTCCTTAGAGAGCGTGCATCAAAAACAAAACCCCAAACCTCAACAGCTGTATTAAAATGGATTCCAAAATCGTATCTGATGCTGACCCTCTAAGTCAAATCAATCTCATTTCTAGCAATAATTACAGTATCAGACTGCATCAACAAAAAAGCCACGTGAATAATCCCTCCTCTACAAGGGATGACATGGATTTACACAGTAAAATCAAGGCTGTGCTGCAGCTGGGTTAACTGCTGTTTCAATAGTGAACCCATTCTGAGGGTTTAGAGTGATGGTTTTAATTGGTGAAAGCTTGGCATTAAAGCCAGAAACCCAGACACGAGAATGTAATAACTAACAACAGTCATAATAATAATTTGTCGTTTTAAAACTAAAGGCCTCAGCCCTACATTAGCTTCTGCTGCCTTCGAAATAAGGCTTTTTGAGTTCTCAGTTCCCTCTGAAGGATAAAACCCCAAACCAAACCAAACCAACCCCCCAAAACAACCCTCCTGGACTTCCAGATATGTTTCCACCTGCAATTTCCAACCAATCTCAACCACAGGTGTTTAATACAAGCTACTTTTGCTGATTCTTTGTACCCAGACTGCTGTAAAGCAGCACTTGCAATTGCAGAAGCTCCAAGTCTGCAGGCAGGTACACCCTGAGTTCTGCTGTGCTCAGATCAGATCTGGAGCCTGCTCCTTCCATCAGTGTTACAGGATAACTCGGGTCAGATACGAGCAGAGCAAACTTAGGGATCTGGTTCTGCATCAGCAGTGCACAGACTTGACCAAACAACAGCAGCAACTGAGCTGGAAGAGAACCAGGTCCCACAAAAGCTGCCACAGCTCCTCAGTCCTACTGGGACAGAGGCACTTTAGTTACAAGCACTGACTTTCAGCTATGCTAACCTCACTGGTTTATTCAGCAATCATGTGTTACGTTGCACAGGACGGGCAAGAGAGCTCTCCTTCTCAGCATTACAGGGATAAAAGCTCACTTACAGCTGCCCTGCCAGCATTTATTGACACCTTTGCCCTCACTTAACTAAAGAAGGGGAGCAAAAGGCCACGGGCTCTTTTCCAATGATGTGTTTCAAGCACCATAAGAGTCATCAAATGCGACTGCAAACTACAACGTGTTTTACTAAGTCCTAATTAACGTGGGAAATATCAGGGGGTTCCCCAGCTTTGCCTTTTTGTATCAAAAACAATGAGCAAACACTTAAGGCCACACCATTTCTTAGGTTCCATAACGATTTCACATGCTGGTTCCTGCAGATGTAGCCATATATTCCAGACTTTGCAAGAAACAGGATTTGTTTTCTAATAATCTGATCCTACAGCAAGATCTACAGCAGAAGATTTCACTGAAGGCCTAAAGCTTTGTATGGGAACTGCTGAAGCCTGAACCACTGATTGAGCACCTGGGGAAAGAACCCACTCAGCACAGGTGAAGGCAATTCATGTGTGGGACCAGGAGGGGTGGATCCTGGCTGCACCTCTCTCAGACCTCATTTAAGGGCTGACTGCCCCAGGGGAAGGTTCTTTTCCTGAAGGTCCCTGCTTGGAGAAGCTTTCCTCTGTGACCCTGGAATCTTCTGGTACAGGTGAGCAATCTTCTCCTTTTCCTTTATAGCACCTTTGCTGGTCCTTTCTGTCACCACACCTCTGGTGTAATGCCTTTCCCACTGCACTGACTGCCCAACTGCTACAAGCCTGTAGAAGTTCACTGCCCCAAATCCTGTACAAAGAATTGATTTAAAGACAAACCCTCTACAGATTTCAAGCATACCATGTATCTTATCCAGTACCTCATTAGAAGCTAGCAATTATTTGTTCCTTCAGGACAAACAAACTTTTCTGGCAAAGGTGATCCCTACATCAGAGCATTTATAAGCAGAATTATTGCGTTTTCCCAGAAATAAGAGAGAAAATAATAAGTGGAGACAGAGAGAAAACGACTACACCACCAGCATATGCTCTTTAGCTACTCTTGTGTTGTTACACTGGTGTAAATCCATTTGAGGCTGCCAGGTTTGTGTGCTTCACAGCCATGTGGCAAACCAGCATGGCCAGGACTCAGACCATGCCTGCATTCCAGTGTCTCAAGGCTGTATTTAGTCAAATCCAAAGACATCTTACCATTAACGCTTCCTTGACATAACTGCATTTGGAGAAAGCAGTAATTTGTTTACAAGTAAGTACCTTTTGATGAAGCAATCTGTTAAACTGAGGGAACTGCTCAGGTCAGGAAGTCTATGTGAATCAAAACCTCGTTATACTTACTGGTATCAGGGAGGTGTGAGTTTTCTACAGCTAATAATAACATGTCTGAAAATGGGTAAGAAAGCCTGCAGCTTAAATCATGCACACACCTCAGCTGTGTGGTGATGATGCCTACAGCAGAACAGTATCGTTTCCCTGCTTCCAGGTTCACAGGGCACTGGCCCACCACAAATCCCCATTCAGATGAAATCCAAGCCCATTTCATTCCCTTTGGCCCCTGCTGTTGACAAAGTAACTGTCCTAATGTGCAAAGTGGAAAGGAGCAATGATCCAGGACAGCTCCTGGTCTTCATGACTCGTAGGCTGAGGCTGAAAACTGAAATGTGGGAAGTGCTGATGTTGATGATGTGGTGGAAGAGTTGTGCCAGGGGAAATTTGGGTTAGATATCATGGATAATTCCTTCTCAGTAAGAGCAGTGAGGCACTGGCACAGGGGAATGGTGGGGTCACTGTCCCTGGAGATGTTCCACAACAGTGGAGATGTGGCACTGAGGGACACAGTGGGCACTGTGGGATGGCTTAGGGTGGACTTGGCAATCTTGGTTATCTTTTAAGCTTAATGATTCCATGATTCTATGAGGGAATATCCCACAGCAGCAGGCAAGCTGTGGGGTAGTACTGTAAGACTGCGGCTGCACGTGGGTGAACTTGCCATAGCTTTGCCCAGGGGAGATAAGAGATAAAGAGTGAGCTTGTGACACACAGGATGAGATTTTACCATGTGTGCAGCATGAAGAGACTTCATTTTCTTTTCCTGTTTAGACAAACTGCTGCCATTAAGAAGGAAGTTGATAAAACTGAATTAAAACAGGTACATGTGCACAAGTATCACGTTCTGACTTCAATGTAAGGTAGGTGATGCCCAAATAGGTGATGCTGCTTCAAGGTAAGGAAAGAAAAACCCCTTCTGCTGCACAATATGGCTCTTCAGGCTGGATTTCTCCCAGCATGACACCACACTAAAACCAGCAGATTCCCCACACAGACACAACTACCCAACACCGTGCACAGAGAAGCCTTGCAGATGTAAGATCACAGCGTGCAGCTCTCGGGGCTCTCTCCACTCCACAAGCTCTCTCCCACACTTAGCTATGAGCAGCACAGGCCTGGCTGCACTCCACCCCCACCGTTCTCCCTCCCAGGCTGAAATCTCTTCCCGGCCCCCCAGCCGAGGCCGTACCAACGTGAGGGCCACCTCCAGCATCGGCGCCAGCGCCAGCGTGCCGTGGAACAGCGGGATGCAGTCGACGAATAGCGAAGGCGGCCCGGCCTGCTCTCGGCCCCGGCTCCCCGGCGGTCTCTCGGCCACCAGCAGCCCGTTCACGGCGCAGTGCGGGTACTTGGCGCCGTGCAGCACCATCTTGCAGTAAGCCTGTGTGGTCAGCTTCATCCCGACGGTTCCGCGAAGCGCAACCACTCCTCAGACCGCCGCCTGCCGTAAAGAGCGCCCGACGCCGTCCCTCAGACCGCCGCCTGCCGTAAAGCGCGCCCGCCGCGATGTCGTAAAACCCGAGAGACGGTCCTCCCGCATCCCATCAGCCACCGCGGCGGAGGGAGAGTACACCCCCAGCGCCGCTCTCTTTCTCCTGTGCCGAGTTCCGGCGTGCGCTGCGCTTCCGGCCGGCGGCTCCTTCCGGTGGAAGCCCGGCGTAGAGGACGGTCGGCAGGTCGTCGGGCTGGGAGGCCGCGGGAAGGCGGGGGAGGGCCTGGGGGCAGCGGGAGGGCTTAGGGGACAGCGGGGACGCTCGGGGTATGTGGGGCACCGTTTGTCGCCGCCTCTGGGTCGGCCCCGTCCCGGCGACCACGCGCTGAGGGCCGCCCGCCGCTTCTCGAAGGGGTCTCATCGGTGTTGCCGTATGACGTCATGTCGGCGATATGACGCCATGTCATGCGGTGTCCCCGCCGCACTGGGGGGGTTGAGCAACAGCTCAAAGGCAGAGGTACACTTCTGCTGCGGGGGTGTGTTGGGTTTTATGCTGAAACCCGGGAGAAATCCGCAGCCTGGAGCAGGAAACGTTCTTAGAAACCGTTATTGAGCGCCTGCTGCCCCGTGCTGGAGCTCCACTGCTCTGTGAGGTGCTTCCAGGCCCGGCATGAGGCTCCATGCCACCAGCACTGGGCTGCTGAGGGCATCTTGCATGGCTGAGCCATGCGCGATGCTGGAGGCTGCTGGAAAATGGGATGCATTGCACAGCTCCACTGGTGTGATGCTACTGTAAAGCTTGGAGCAGTTTGCTCTGTCCTTCAGAGTAGATGCAGGAAGCCCAAAGGCAATAACACTGAGGGATATTATTTCAGTTTAATGTATTTATTGTCTTCAGCTGACAGTGATTTATTTACCTGTTGTTGTTCTGACCTGGCAGGATGTTGGCTTCAAGAGCATTCAGCCTCATTGGGAGAAGAGCCCTTTCCACCTCCATCTGTGTGAGGGCGCATGGGCATGGTAGGTGGCACTGCTTTGGTTTTAGTGGGGACAATAAAAGTGCTGTTTGAGAGGAAGGATACAGAATGCAACTATTAGGATCCTTGAAGGTGAGGAAGAAAGCTTTCTCCCAGCTACAGGCTGGTTCCCAATAGCAAGGGAAGCAAGTGGTTAATTATGTTGTTAGATGTATCAGTGATGTATCCCCGTACAGCTATAGGAGACAAATAACACGAAACTTGTCCAAAAGACTTGTATAAAGCATAGAATAGCTCAATAATTCTGACTCTGTGATGTTATTTGCTGGAGACAGCTCTTTGGCATTACATGTTCTTGCAGAAATTGCTATTTTGAATGCTCTTCCTGTGCCATTTCCTGTGTGCCTGCTGCAGCTCACGTGTGGGTAAGGTAGGATGCAGGACAGCGGGTTGGCAGGGTTGGTTTCTCAGCCTGGCAGCAGAGGCAGTGTTTGGGCAGCACCTTTGCCAGCAGATGGCATTGCAGAGGTGGCACTGGGGTTAACTGATGGAGAGCAGAGGGCCTGGACTGGGATGGAAAAGTGTAGAGGACTTCTGTGTATTGAGAAGGGAATCAGTATGACAGCTAGAAACAGAGCTGGCTTGGGGATTAACAGTTTAAAGCCATTTTGCATATTACCTTTTGACTAGATCCATAGATTCATAGCTACTTGATTCTTCTAAAAATTGCACTCATTCCAAGTAGGTTCTCTCTTGTCTTTCTCAGTGATGAAGGCTTGGGCCAGAAGTCTTTTTCCTCCCCCCCCAAGTTTACTTGACTGCTGTCGTGCTTTAACTGCGCTGTTGGCCTTTTGTTTGTATTGTAACCAGTGAGAGATGTTTGTGCAGGAGTCAGAAGTTTGATTCTTGTCTTTTCTGTGCCCAAACACAGCTGGTGTTGTCAAAGCAGAGGATTTCAGCCATCCAGCATACGTTGATCGCCGTGATGTTCCCCTGCCAGAAGCAGCCTTTGTGAAGGAGCTCTCTGCTCAGCAGAAGGCTCTGAAAGAAAAGGAAAAGGCATCTTGGACCGCTTTGTCTGTTGATGAGAAAGTTGAATGTAAGCCTCTGAATAACCTTACAGCTAGCAGTAATGAGACCTGATCTGCTGTGTGTTCATTACCAATGACTTACTAGAAAGGCATTCAAAGAAGGTGGCTCTAAGCTGCTGCTAAGCCCTGCTTTACTGAGCAGCTCTGTGGGCAGAGACTTGAGCCATGAGAGGACTCTGTTAATCATGATGGAGCACAAGTGGAGATCAGTGGTTTGTGTGGCTTGTGTTCTTACTGCTGTTGCAGGGAGCTAGATGTGCCTGTTGGTCTCTGTTATGTGCCTGAGGTCATGCAGTGCATCTGACAGAAGGTATTTAGCTAACTGTGGGTCAGGCTTAGCAAAGAGCCTGTCTTCTCTGAGAAAAGCCTGTTGTTACAACCAATATTCCAAATTAGAATCAGCAGTATCTAATTAGTCAAGCTGATTGTCCCACAGCTATTCCTGCTGTGGGAGGGCATGGTAGGATTTCTTATCCATTCTCTCTTCTGTTGAGAGGTGTTCTAGTTGCTCTAGTAAACTAAACTGAAGGCTTGGAGGGATAGATTGCTATCTTTCAAGTCCTACCAATGAAACTGGAAGGGTGAAAAACTGGACCCTGTATATTTTACTGTTATTGAGCTTGGCATCCCCAAATTTCAGCTGCTTAAAGTGCCAAGCAGGTGCAAGCCTTGCAGATAAAACTGTCATCTTTCTAACAGCCGTTGTGTTGTGCAAGTGAGAGCCTGTTTGATGGGATCTGTGAAGAGCACATTGTCCACCAGTGTCATGGCAGGAAGATGTCAAGCCCTCTCAAATATTCATAGGCACTTTCCAAATCAAATGCTGCTTTGAGCTTCATGAGATGGAGGTCTTGTTGGCAGAGCTGCGAGAAGCCTTTTAAATATAAGCATTCCCATTGAAACCCTTTGTGTTAAGGAGCTTTATGGTAAATAGTGATACTAGGAATTGAAGGGAGGGAAGGAAAGCTCCATTACTTCTATTATGCAGTCTTTGCACAACTTTACAGTCACATATAAAAGAGAGAGTAACATTTCTTTCTTCATGAGGGGAAGGTGGACTGCAGCTCATTTCCTTTGGCACAAATGCATTGATCTTGGCATGGAGGGTGTCAGGTAATTTGGAAGGTATTCTAACATCTCTTCCATCCAGCTTGAAGCTTTGGTTTGCCTCCAGCAAGTGATGTGTTGCCTGCGAGCAGCAGCAAAAGTAAAAAGAGATTATTTGATGCTTAATGTTTTCTTTCTCCAGTGTACCGTATCAAATTCAATGAGAGCTATGCAGAAATGAACAAAGGAACAAATGAGTGGAAGACCGTCCTTGGTGGAGTGCTCTTCTTTCTTGGCGTATCTGGCCTCATCCTCATCTGGCAGAAAATGTACAGTAAGTAAACACTGCGTGGTGTCCTCCCCCCTAATTTGAGAGAGCAGTTGAGATCTGATGGTGACATCAGGAAGTGCTCCCTAAATGGCTCTGTTTCAAAACGCTGTGTGGAACAGCCATCCTGGTGCATCCTTAGCTTCTGAAAACTCCATTCTGGAGTTGAGACTGACTGGATGTAAGCAGGTATGTAGCATAAATTGTCAGGCAGTTGATTTGTAGAGAGGTAAAGTTACTGGAGAGAGTTCTGGAGGAAAGGGGAGGGGAAAGAATAGCAGTGTGCTGATGATCCCAGAGCTTTCCCTGGCTGCGAAACCTGCTGCTGCAAAAGCTTGCTGCCTTCTTGGTCGTAAACATTTGGGTTTCTGTCATGCTTGGCTTCCTTCCCAGCTAAAGATCCTACCTCAGGGGAGCCCTCCAGCTGCCATGAGGCAAAGCATGCAGCTGAATGAGCTGCTCTCTACCTTGAGGCTTCATCTACTTGTGGTGGAAGTTAGGAGAGGGCTGTTGTCTTGGCTGATGAGCAGAACTCATCAAGAGAATCAACCCCAGAATCTGCTGAGCTGAATGCTTCCAAAACTTGATTTGGGGATCTTAGGTTTGAACAGGTGATGGTGCACATGTGATCAGCTGTGTTTGCTTCAGAGGGAAAAGCTTTCTGTTGGGAACACAGGTGCAAGTGTTGCTGAGTTGTTAACTTAGTGTGGTGATGTTATTGTGGTTTTAATTGCAGTGTACAGCCCTGTTCCTCACACCTTCTCTGATGAGTGGCTGGCAATGCAGACAAAGAGGATGTTGGACATGCGGATGAATCCTGTGGAGGGCATCTCTTCCCAGTGGGATTATGAGAAGAACGAGTGGAAGAAATGAAGCAACTCAGCTCTGCTTGAATATGAAATGATTCCATCACCTGTGCGTGACCTCGTTGCTTATGTACTGGAACAATCTCTCCACCTAAATAGATGAAAATAAACATCTGGTTAACTTGAAAGCTTCGTTTTATTGGTCTTCAGATGCGTTTGTTTGTTGTGATGGTCATTTGTAGTGCAGGTTGATGGGCAGGGTTTTTTCTCCATATATCCTTGTAGTGATTGTTATATAGACAGCATGAATCAGTTAAGGGGAGTGAAATGCTTCTATTTCTTGTTGGGGGGAGGATAAGTAAGATGAAATGTAGTTTGGAAAGTGTGTTTTTTGTATTCATTGCCTTGAAATTGAAGGGGTGAAATTCCACCTAGCTCTGCAATGGGCATTGCTGAACGTTCAGGACAGTCACCCTACTGTCCTGGCACAGGAATAGCTCCTCAGGAGCTGCAATACCTTTATTTCTTAACTCCTCTTTAAGGCTGCATTTCTGGGACACAGCCAGGAGAGGCAGTGCTCTGAACTACATGTAAGGTAAGCAGATCCCAGCTCCTGGGGAGGCTCGGTGTCCCATAACTCAGCACCAGAAATAGCTCTGCAAAAGGCAGCAGTGCTGAATCAAAGCACGGAGGGCACGTGGTGGAGATGAAGGCTGCTTCCCTTGTCCTTGTAAAGGGGACTTGGCTCTGCATTCTTGTCCTCCACTGCTTTTCCCATCTCAACAGCATGGGCTGCAGAGCTGGCTGAAGTGTTTTGTGCAGCCTCAAGTGAGGAAGAGAGAGAAGTGCCCATTGTAGCTCAGGGTTTAGATGTAAATCCAGGAGGTGTTTCTTGCCTTGCCTCTTGTAGCTGGGTGCTGTTCAGAAAGGGTGGCTGTGGTTGAGGGGAGGGAAAGAGAAGCCACGCTTTGTGGGAGCAGCCCAGATGTAAAGGCAGTGTTCTGAGCAAGCTCTGCTTCACAGCTCAGACGTGGCTTAAGGTTTCCAGAGCCTGAGCTATGAAGGCTGGCGCCTCTGTATTTGCTTTGCTCTGTCTGTAGCTGCCAAACTTTGTTTTCCCTTGGGTTATCCACTAATGCATGTCCTAGGCTTCCTCCAGGCAAATCCCAGTCTTTGCTTTCAAAGCAGCCCTCTAAAGATCCAAGCTACTAAAACAAGCTTTGCCTTCAATTAATTTGTTTCCTGCCTACAAGACTGTTGTGTTTTTTCCATCCATTTAGCTGCTGGAAAGCCCAGGGAGTCCTTGCTGCTGCTCATGAGGAGCTGGCCAGCCTTTCCCTTGCAATAAGGCAGCTTCTGGGAAGGCTTTAAGGTGAGGTGATTCAGCAGGCATGAAGCAACAAGCTCCCCTTCCTGTTTGCCTCCAGAGTGCAGCAAAGGGTGTTACAAAGGATGTTGGGGTGCCTGCAGCAGAGCTGGCTTCATCACGGAGGTGAATCTGACAGCAAAACAGCGATGTCTGCAACCAACCCAGCAACAGCATGGCAACAAACACAGCTTCAAGTGCCTTGAAGTGTCGTCCTGAGGCTGTGCTGCTGTTTTCTGTGTCAGTGCCTGTAGGAAACGTCTCAAATGGAGTGTGGGAAATGGGCTGGTCTGCTGGGAGATGTCTGCTGGCTCAGGCTGGGCTCTCTGGCACTCGAGGCAACCTCGACTTCACCTCGCCATGGGTTTTCACTATGCGAGCAGTTTGCTTTGTTGGTTTTGTTTTTCTCCTCCCTTTCTTTCCTCGTGTCAGGCTAACAGCATCGACCTGGGAGGGGGCTGGCAAGCAGCGAGACAGATCTGCTTTGGAAATGGAGGTTTGGGAGTGTGTGCTGGAATGACAGAGCTGCTCCACAGCTCGTCTTGCCTTACTGCAGGGAGGGGGAGGTGGACTCATTCCCGATGCTGCACGTTGCCTGTGCCGTTCTGTTTCTCTGGGGTAAATGCCTTGTTTTGAATTCTGCTCTCATTCCCATGACTGGGAGAAACCGGTATGAATGAGAGAGATCCTGCTGAGCCCTGGGCTTGCAGCGGTCAGCAGCATCCTAGCATGAAACCTGGCCCCAAAGCAGTGCAGAAAGGCAGTGGGGTGTCCCCACTCTCCATGCCACCTTGGTGAGGTGGTGCCTTGATTTAGGAGAGCAATGCCCACTGTACCAGAGAGTCTGGAGTGGAAACCTGAGCCTCAGATCCTCATTTCATCCTGCCCAGCCCTGCAGCAGCTGCTTTCCTCTTTGCCTGATGACACAGAGCTGGTGAGCGGGCTGAGTTTGCTGAGGCTCTGAGTGCCCCATGGGGAAAGCAGCTTTCACTGTTCTCTGTGGGCTTTCTGAGTGTTTTCTTGCAGATAACCCTGGATACTGAGAGCCTGTCTACATCCTCACCTTGGGGAGAGAAAAGCCATGGGGAGTGGAATGAGCAAGGTACCGAGGGCAGGGCTGAGTGCCTAAGGGTGTTCAACAGGTGGCAGCTGGCTTTTGGGTCTCGTCCTTTGGGTGGTACAGCCGTGGTGGCACAAACTCCCTGGACTGACTGGGGGTCCCAGGAGCTGTGCCCCTGTTTGTCCCCCATAGGGATGTGTCTGTGTAATGTAAACAGGCAGTGGGGCTGCGCTGGGGTTGGTGCTCAGAGCTGGCAGGAGGGATCGATGTCTCTATCCTTAAATAACCACTGGTGTATGCGTTATCCAGGTTAAAATTAGACACCAGGATGGCAGCAGAGCAGCACTTGGGATAAATTAGAGCCACTCTGAGTCTTTTTATTGCTCCTCTGGGTAATATAAAGCAATGATTTCTCTCCATCCATCCATCTCGGAGCACAGCTCTAGATGCAGGGGATCTTTTGGGCTCAGGATAGGCTCCCCACGAGCATAACATCCTTCTCCATGATATCTATCCACCCAGGGTGAGGAATGCCCTGGTGTGGTGCTGCTCACTGGGTTCGTTAAGCACAGAGCCCAGCAAACTCCATATGGATAAGCTGTGCATTCACCCTGCTGGCAGAGGAAACCTTTGGAACCATTTGCAAGACTGGTTGCTATAGAACAGCCAAACACAGCAGGAAGCTGCTCCAGGTTGGGCTCTGGTTGGTGGTTGCACGCTTGCACCCAAGTGCACAGCAGCCAGGCCCAATCCATCCATGTGCTGAGTTTTCCTGAGCTCTGTGCTCCTGGAGGGTTTTGGTTTGGCATCCAGCGCTGGCAGATTGTCTTGGGTGGAAACAACCTCTGCTGTTTGTTAATGAAGATGCTTTGTTCATTAGCTGCTTGGTTCATCTTTAGCTGGGGGTGTTTTCTCCGTGGGCCCCAGCCTGTGAACACAGGTGATGCTCCTGAGTAACGCAGAAGCATCTGTGGGTTGAGGAGGGGGGGTTTGGGAAGCAGAGGGGATGAGGTGTCAAACAGAACAGCTCTGCTTTTTGCCACCTTGCAGGTGGTCGCAGGGCTCTACCTGGGGAACATCCGTGGTAAGTATGGGAAGCCTGCCTGGCAGAAGGGTCTTTTTATTTGGAGATGGCTGCAAAATGGGTTTGTGCATCCCAGGGGAGGCCAAACCGATGGGGTTGGCCATCCTTATACCACCGGGTTTGGTCCCATGGGGTGGGAAGCGGTGGGATGGAGTTGGGGGTGGGATATCTGTAAGTGTTTGCTGGAGCTGCTCCTGCTTGCAGACTCAGAGGACAGGGACAGCCTGCGGAGGCATGGCGTGACACACATCCTTTCCGTGCACAACGGGGCCAAGCCGGTGCTGGAGGTGAGTGAGGGACACCGGGGGGATGCTGCGTTGGCACCCAATGCTGGGGGTGGAGTAGCTGGGGGGCGCACGGAGCCTCCCGGGAGGGTTTTGTAGCTGATGGAGGCTTTGGCTGAGGGTGTCCGACCCATGGTGCTGCCCCGGTAAGGGCCACGAGAGGGCAGCGGAGCCCCACGCACGGCACTGCCGGATCCGCTTCCACCCCCGGTGCTCAGGATGGGGCTTGGGGAGGGCTCTGCCTGCTCACCTCCACGTCGGGCAGCCCCTGAGGGGGACCCTCCATCCAGGATCAAATCACCTGAGATCACTCCCCGTCCCTCCAGTGTTGATCCCATTTTCTGGCGTTCGGTTTGGGAATGAGCATTGAGGAATGCTTTAAAATCCTGAAAATAAGAAGTGAAGGAGGTGCGTAGGAGGCAGTTGTATCCTATTCCATGTCCCCAAAGTGGTGTAATGCTCTGTCACTTCTGGGAGAGACACCTGATGGCTTCTCCCCATCTCATGGATGCCTGCTGCTGTCCTATGGGAAGGTGAAAGGAGTTGAGGGAGGGAAACTGAGGTAGGAAGGAGCTGCTGGGTGTGCATGTGCTGGGTGCACACAGGATGAGCAACCCATGGGTCTGTGCATGGGAGGTGGTCTTCCCTGCCAAGACATTGAGCAATGAAACTGAGGAGAGAGGAGGAAGGAGGGTGGCAGAAAATGGGGTCAAAGAACTGGTTTGTTCAGGGAAGGTGCAGCAGCTGGGGTATGGGGCATGGCCATATAGGCAGCAGCCTGCCTAGGCAGCTTGCAGCCCGCAGCAGTGCACAGAGCCAGTGGAAAGGGGAACAGGAAAAGCATGGTGGGTTGAGCAATGTGTCAATCACGGCCCCTGGCCGGGGACCGCAAACCCCAGCAGCGTTCCCATGCCTGCAGCCCAGCTTCCCTCCCCCAGTTGGGATGGAGGCACATGGTCCTGTGGGGAAGGGGAAGCCACCTGGGGTCCAGCTGAATGTATTGAGTCCTACCATTGGCATGCTGGCTTTCCCAGCTTGGTGGGTTTCCTCGTTCATCCAGGTGCTGGGAAACTGCAATGCATCATAGCTCATCTCAGTTGGAAATCATCCCACGAGATCTTGCTTGTCCTTGCGTCCCAGCTCTGTTGTCCCATTGCAACTTGCTTGCCAGAGTGCTGTGGTTTGCTGGGTGTAGGAATGCACCAAGCAGCAGGTTGGAGAGGATCAGGGATCATATCACAGTACCCTTAAGGTTGATAAAGTCCCCTGTAATCTCCAAGCCCATCCCATCATGCCTGCTGACCGTGTCCCTGCGTGCCAGGTCTTGAACTCTTCCAGGTATGGTGACTCCACCACCTCCATTAGAAACGCATCATATGGTGCCCATCCCACTGGGGGCTGTGGGATCAGTGTGGGATGGGGCCAGGGAAAGGCAATGGGATGGAGGGGAGATGCTTGGGGAAACCCCGTGTGCTTCTCCTAGCAACGTGGGTCTTTCCAATGGGGGAATGTCCCCGTGATGGCCATGCCCATCCAGCTCTCCTCCTTCCCTTTGACATTCACTTGGAATAATTGGCTTTTTCCAGCCTTTTCATGAAAGGAAGCAAGAGCAGCTTTGGGCAGCAGTGTTATAGGGAGATGAATGGAGATGGGGCAACCCCTGGTGTGCCGTGCTGGGCTGTGTCAGCTCTGTCTGGTGAGATTTCCACCCGATTTGCTAAGAAGAAAAAAAATCAGATGAAAAGGGTCTAATTTTAGCTCGGAACAGGGAGGATCGAGGAAGCGATGCTCTAAAGAAAGTGTAATCTGACCTACGCCAACATGTGGCAGGATGATTCCTTGTGTATTAAAGGAACCAGGAGGAAATAACTCATTGATGAGGGACTTCATGGCTGTGTCCGCACGCATCGTTCTGATGGGGCACGGCTGTCACCGTAGCATGGACAGGGAGATGATGATGGGGGGCAGGGAGATGATGATGATGGGGGGCAGGGAGA